AAAATTTTAAAATCCTATGGGAAGTATAATCCTATATGAAAATCGAATTTACCGATGGTAAAAAATTGAAAGTGCCCTAAATAAAATTAATATAAAAAATAAGTAATTTTAATATTATAGTCAACTCGTAATTTATTTTAATTAAGAGATTTATGTTAATCTTTAAAGGCTTAATAAATATTAAAACGAATTCAATAAATTATTATACCAAAAATTTGAAATATATCTAATAAGAGAAAATAGAAATAGATAGAGCTATCAGTTAGGATTAGACTCCAATATCAAAGAGAATAGTACAAAAATATGTTCAATAACATAAACTTATTTTTAAATTTAACTTAGTTCTTTTAAAAATGTTTTAATAGTATTTCTATAAATATTATTCAAATAGAACATTTAGTATCAAATCAACAATTTCAACTTCTTACAGTATCAAAAATATTAAAAAATAAACCTAAACACTAGTCGGTACTTTAAAATATTAAAGATTAAAAAGTATTTAAATCTTATATTATCTTATGGAGGTATATTAGAATATTTTTGTAATAATTATATTTGATTTACAAACAGCTTTAAAAAACTTTTATAAAATATTTATACAATAAAAATATTCATAGAAAAAATATTGTCTATAAATAACTTCATTGAAAATGATGTTATAGATTTGAAAAAAAGTGAAAAATTATTTTTATAAATAATTTTTTACTTTCTAGGGAAATAACTTATATAATATGTAAAAGTTTCTAGTAGTGAAAGATTTGGAATGAATATTATTTTGTTAAAATAAGATTAAAAATTATTAATAAATTCTTAGGGTGATTTTGATAATAATATACTATTTATGATAATTAAATTAATTTTTGATTCGTAATGAGAATGACTAAATATCAATAAAATTACATTATTAAAAGATTTTTAAATTTAAATTTTATAAGTTAGATAATTGAAAGTCAATTAAAAAAATCATTTTAAGTCTTATCATTAAATAATTAGTTGTTTTAAAATAATAATATAATAAACTGTGGTATTTTTACTACATGCAAATAAGAATTATTAGAATTATTAAATTTATTGATAGACTTTTAAAAAAATTAATTAAAACCCTTCAATGAATATTAAAGAATTAATAATAAGACAATTAAAAATTAAACAGTTTCTTTTAAATAAATAGTTTGTTTACATGATATATAAAACAATGTAGTATCCTCTGGAGTACTTCATAAGCTATAAGTGTTTTAATTTTTATAGTATGAAAAAAGAATTGAAACATTTTTTTTTCCATATTAAAAACTAATTTAATTTAAAAATCTCACTATTTCATCTTTATTACATGTAAATATTTTTATCTGATGTATTAGAATATTCTAAGAGAATCTCTAATTACATTTAATCAAATTAAATAATTTTTAATAAAAAAATTTTATTTAAAACTTAATAGTTTTCTTAAAATATTAAATCAAATTACATCATCTTTAATATCACTAACTTTTTTTATCATTCTCTAAATATCTATCACCAAGTCTTATAAACCACTATTTAACTAAAAAATTGTAAAATACTTAAAGTTATTAAATTTTCTTTTGGTGTAAATGTATGTTTACCTTTCTCACAAAAACTTAAAATATAATTATACTATTTTTAATTACTTTAAGTAAAAATAACAATCTTTTTATAAATTTTATAACGCTAAATGTTTTTTATAACCATCCTATTTGTTTATGTAAATAACCTCTAAATTTTGTAATTTCTCAAAGATGTTTTAGACAAATAATACTTAGTAATTTAATCGAGTTATTATTAATAAGATTTGTTATTAATTTTACTTTAAAATAGAGAAACGTTTGCTTAGAAACAACTATAAAATTAAAAAATTAATAAATAAAAATATATTTAAAAATAAATAAAATACCCATGTTTGAAAATAAATTAGATTATACTAATAGTTCTGAAACAATGTTAATAGATAAGTTTAATAACATTCTCAATCAAGTGAATTTAGATGGGTTTATCATTCCTATGGAAGACAATCATTTAAATGAATCTATTAATATAAATGATAATTACGTTGAGTATTTTACAGGGTTTAATGGAACAGCTGGTAAACTCTTAATTACGAAAAGTAAGATAGGGTTATAC